GAGGTGGGCAGATCACGAGGTCGGAGTTTGAGACCAGACTGGCCAACATAGTGAAAAATCTGTCTTTACTAAAAATACAAAAAATTAGCTGGGCATGGTGGTGGGTGTGTATAATCCCAACTACTCAGGAGGCTGAGGTAGAATTGCTTGAACCAGGAGATGGAGGCTGCAACAAGCTGAGATCACGCCACTGCACAGCAGCCCGGGTGACAGTCCGAGACTCCGTCTTACAAAAAATAAAAATTTTTTTAAAGAGATAGAGTCTTGCTCTCTGTCACCCAGGCTGGAGTGCAGTGGTGAGATCATAGCTCACTGCAGCCTTAAACTCCTGGGGTTCAGCAATCCACCATCTCAGCCCAGTTTTGAATATTAAAATGAGTTATTTTGTCTTAAAAGCTACTATTTGGCTGTAACCAGTGGAAATATTTTCCTTTTGTTACAAATAAAATAATGAAATTAATAAGGCCTTTTGGGTTTTCTGTCCTGTTTAAATTCTCAACTCAAAGGAAAATAGCATCATTTTATTTTCTCAATATAGAAGTAATGCATTACTGAGTTAAAAACAAATGAGCAGAAAAGTTTAAATAAGACACTTCCACGACCTATCTCCTTTTCTAACATCTTGCTCCACATTTTATAGGGTTGCAGAGGAAATATTGGACATTCATGCCTGGTGGTGAGAGAAGGTGAAGGGAAAGACAGTTGGACTGGGACTAGAGAAGATAAAACATTATTCATCAAAGAGGAAGAAAAGGCCAATGGACACAGGAGCAAGTACACCATCTCACTGTAAACCAAAGAAAGGGAAATTCCAACCACAATGAGAAGGTACTTCTTGTCTCCGGGGTTGGCAAAGAGGAAAATGAGTGGCAGGACCTGATGTGTCAGGGAAGCAAGGGGAGAACTGGCTCCTGCGGCACTGCTGATGGGAGTGGTAATTGGGGTCCTGATCTCACGGGTGACGTGGCCCTCACGTGAGCTGGAGCCGACGAGTGCAGACGTCCTTTTAATCCTAGTCTTCATTTGGTCCGGTTGCCTTCTATCTCACAGAGGGCGAGAGGATCCTTGGCCTGGGGGAAGGAGGAGGAGGTAACTGCCTGGATCCCAGCAGGTTTGTGTGTGGATGGGCGTTACTGGGGGATCCCTGCGGTGTGGGCAGTAACGGGTGGAGGCCGAAGCGGGAGCACAGTTTGCTTTCTGCAAACCCTTGCAATATGCCTGGCCCTAGAACAAAAAGGGTGGACCTTGGGGCCGGATTGCAGGGGCGACCCCAGACTCTCGAGTAGTGGGACCTTTGACATCCAGAGCCTTGAATCAGGGAGGGCAGATACTCGGATTCATTTCCTGTGCGCTGGTCCATCTACCAGTCCAGAGTCTTGGGGCTGTGCGTCTGACAGTCATTCCCCTTTTCTTTCAGTAGGGCACTGTGCCATTTGGGAACAAAGGAATAGTCTGCCTGGAATGTGCAGGTCAGTGTAAACCTGGGGCTGCTCCGCGGCCCCGAGACGGACGGGGATGGCTGAAGTCCTTGCCTTAACTCGGGCCCCTTACCCACTCTCAAGCAATCTTCCTGCCTTTTTTTTTTTTTTTTTTTTTTTTTTTTTTTTTTTTTTTTTTTTTTTTTTTTTTTTTTTTTTTTTTTTTTTTTTTTTTTTTTTTTGCAGGAAAAGAGGATGTAACAGTGCCTACAGGAAAAGTGTTTGTCATTGCGGGTAGGGTGCTTTGGGGAAAGGGATAGAAGAAATCTGGTTGGTTTTGTTTTGCTCCTCGGATTTTCCGATCCCCCCTCGCCCCGCCCTGCTTCCAGTGGTTTGAAAGGGGCGTGGTTTGAAAGGGGTGTGTTTTTAGCTGGGAAAATGGCGGACCGCGGGGACTGCGGGAGGGAGTGAGGGGCCGGGAGCCGGGGGCGGGGCCCGGAGGTGGGGCTCGTGGGTGGGGGGACGCTACGTAGCCAGAGGGCTGGTGTCAGCCGACTCCAGAGAAGTGAGGGTAGGGTGAGAGACAAAAAGGTAAAATCTATTTGACAGCCAGGACCCTTAATGAAGAAAAGCGGGTATTGGGACTCTCCGAAGTGCTTTTCTGTCTGCTGAGCCATCAGTCTCTGCCTTCTTGCCTGTGTCTGCAGATCTTGAGCCCGGAAGCCAGTCCAACCCTTGGAGCAGGAAGAAACGCACAGTTGTCCAGAACCAAGTAGGTCCTAAAGAGGATGGTGGCATTATTTGGGGGTGGAGCATGGTGGCCACTGCAACTCAAGTGGGCCAGTGGACCCCCTCCACATTTCCCTCCTTCCCTCTTATCTACACCATTTCGGAGCTTGCAAAAGAAACTACTCTGCAAGTACAAGACAGGGAAGAAAATAGTTGGGAAGGGGTGGGCGTCAAGAGAGTCTTGGGGTGGGGAGCACGTTACTCCAAATTACCGTTTGGGTTACACTGTCCTTGGTGTTGGTCCGTCGACCGAGCACTCACGTCTGAAGTTTGTCAGTCTTGAAGGTTTAGTGGAAGCGGAAACTGAGATGAGGGAGGAAACAAGTTGCTCCCGAGCAAAGTACTTGGTATAATGACGCAGGGGTGGGGGTAGGGGGTGGGGATGTGGCGGCGTCCTGGTACCTTTGACTTGGAGGAGTTGGTGGAGGCAAGGGCAGAGTTCGAAACCTTTACGCCTTTCACGCCAGTCAGGCTTTTAGCTATTCTCACTTCATCATTATTCATTTTGTTACAAAGAATAGGGTTTGATGACATCTTCGGAGGATGCCAATGATGGGGGTGGGGGTGGAGGTGGAGTGGAGGGTTAGAGGAATCATCGAAGGAGGAAGAGGGAGGAAGATAATGAATTTCAAAGCCGCAGCTGTGTGAGAAGAGGAGGGTAACCGAAGGCGGGAAACATTGAGCAAGGCAGATAAAAGGGCTAGGAATTCAGAAGAGGGATGTTTCTCTCAGGTGAGATCTGTTTGTCCCCGAGTTCTCAGCACTCCTCTTCCCGCCCCCTTGTCTGCAGGTTTGCACGAAGCAGTGCACTTGGAAGCAGTACAGAGAAGGAAAAACTGCCTGGACTTCTGTGGGTGCATGTGAGGGCGCCACTGTCCCCAGGACATCTGGAAGGGCAGGGGTGGTAGGGAACTTTGATGTTCTGGGGTGGGGTGGTGGAACGTGACGTTGGAGAGTCTGGAAGTGGGGAAAATTTCCAAACTTGGCTTCCGGATGAGAGAAAGGAATCAGTGATCTAGACATCAAGCCCCACGTCTCTACCAATATCTCTGTATTTTTGTACACTTGTTTGTTTTGTCGTTGTTGCAGTCTGTTTGCTTGCAAAGATACAAAAGGAGGAGGAGCCTGAAACCTGAAATGCATCCTTTATTCCTAGGTCCAAGCTGCCTCAGAGCCAGCCGGATAGTAGCTGCAGACTCCGCCCGCAACGTCGCGCGCTTCTCTGGGCCAGAGCAAGCCTGTTTTGTGCTCTGGTTAAGAGATTTGTCCCGGCCATACCATGGGCCGCACTCGGGAAGCTGGCTGCGTGGCTGCTGGTGTGGTTATCGGGGCTGGTGCCTGCTACTGTGTATACAAACTGACTTGGGGAAGAGATGAGAACGAGAAAATCTTGGATGAAGACAAGGAGTCCACGGACACTTCAGAGACTGGGGTTGAGACTGTGAAAGGAGCTAAAGCTAACGTTGGGGCAGGGTCTGGGGCCAAACTTCACAGTGACTCTAAGGTCAAGCCTGAGGTGAGTTTGGGACTCGAGAATTGTCCAGGTGTAAAAGAGAAGGTCCACTCAGGATCCCACAGTGGAGGTGGCCTAGAGGCCAAAGCCAAGGCCCTTTTCAACATGCTGAAGGAACAGGCAAGTGCAAAGGCAGGCAAAGGGGTCAGGGTGGGTATCATCTCTGGGAACAGGACCCTTGCACCGAGTTTACCATGCCCAGGAGGCAGGGGTGGAGGCTGCCATCCCACCAGGAGTGGATCTAGGGCTGGAGGCAGGGCAAGTGGAAAATCCAAGGGAAAGGCCCGAAGTAAGAGCACCAGGGCTCCAGCTACAACATGGCCTGTCCGCAGGGGCAAGTTCAACTTTCCTTATAAAATTGATGATATTCTGAGTGCACCCGACCTTCAAAAGGTCCTCAACATACTGGAGCGAACAAATGATCCTTTTATTCAAGAAGTAGCCTTGGTCACTCTGGGTAACAATGCAGCGTATTCATTTAACCAGAATGCCATACGTGAATTGGGTGGTGTCCCAATTATTGCAAAACTGATAAAAACGAAAGACCCCATAATTAGAGAAAAGACTTACAATGCCCTTAATAACTTGAGTGTGAACGCTGAAAATCAGGGCAAGATTAAGACGTACATCAGTCAAGTGTGTGATGACACCATGGTCTGTCGCTTGGACTCAGCTGTGCAGATGGCTGGTTTAAGACTGTTAACCAACATGACTGTGACTAATCATTACCAACATTTGCTTTCCTATTCTTTTCCAGACTTTTTTGCTTTGTTATTCCTGGGAAATCACTTCACTAAGATACAGATTATGAAACTAATTATAAACTTTACGGAAAATCCAGCCATGACAAGAGAGCTGGTCAGTTGTAAAGTACCATCAGAATTGATTTCCCTCTTTAATAAAGAATGGGATAGAGAGATTCTTCTTAATATCCTTACTCTATTTGAGAATATAAATGACAACATCAAAAGTGAAGGGCTTGCATCATCCAGGAAAGAATTCAGCAGAAGTTCACTTTTTTTCTTATTTAAAGAGTCTGGAGTTTGTGTTAAGAAAATCAAAGCATTAGCAAATCACAATGATCTGGTGGTGAAAGTAAAAGTCCTGAAAGTATTGACCAAACTCTAATTTGGAGTGTGTCCCAAACAGTATTGAGGTATTTGCACTTGGGACAATGTATTTTGTAAATTCTTTGTTTTTCACTGTGCTTATATGGTAAAGAGATCTTTACAGCTGCTATTTTGGAATAATGAATATCATATATCATCAAAAGTGACTGATGTTGGTTGTGATGGTTGGGCTTAGGCGGGGCCATTTTAAGGATGCCAAATGGAATATTAGTACTTCTACACAGAAAGAATTTATTGATTTGATCTTGTTACCTACATTATTTTTAATCTTTCCGCTACCTAAACTGACAGTGAATTAGTTATACATCATGAATAAGCTATACTTTTATATTAGTTTATATTTTTTAATCTAAGACTTGTGTTTCATCAATAAAGTTGTGTTTTAAGCAGCAGAGAAAAAACATTGTCACTATCCTTGAATTTATGATCTGTTTGGAAAGGTAAGATATATGGAAACTAAAACAAAGAGATATTAACAAAACCGGGAAACCATCAGTGTTTAGAGGCAGCAGAAACAGCTACAGGCAACAATGCTCCAGGAACGTTTTACAGAGGAGGAGAACTCTTAAGTAAGTTGGGTTTGAAAACAGGATACAAAGGGTCAGAAGGGCACTCAAGATGGGAGGAAAGATGGGAAGAAAGGCATGGAGATGGGAATCCTTCTTCAGAGACAAGTGCTGGCCTGCTGGAAGAGAAAGTGTAGGGAGGGTAGTGATGAGAGAGAGAGTCAGGCAGTAGAGGTGAGTCCTGTTCATGGAGCACCCCTAACTGCTAAACTGGGGTATCTGAATATTACCCCACCCACCCCTGTGAGACATCAAGGCCTTTTGTGACCAGAAGATTGACAAGATGAAAGGAAAATAATATGACAGATTTATGTGCAGCATGAATCCAAGCTGGGGTGGGGATAGGAGTGGTGACTGGAGATTGGAAAAACAGAAAGCTACCACAAGTTAGTCCAGGCATGAGATAATACAGGCGTGAAATTTTATTGGTGGCCATGGGAATGGTAAGGAGAGGATGGAAGTGAGAGGCCTTTTGAACCAATAAGTGCTGAGATGTATTCTGGAGACACACAGAGAGGATCAATTTTATTTTAGGGTCCTGGGGGCATTTGACAGAAAAATGTCCTCTTGGCCAATTCTGGTATCCATGTAAGTGAACAGTTACTACTTTGAAATAAGAAGAAAGTATACTAGAAGAAAGAATAAGTTTTAGTGCTTGTATCAGATTTCCTTTATAAGGTTGGTTAAGGTGGGGCCTTTATGGAACCATAGAGAGTGCTGTTGGGATACACATAGAAGATCTACCTCTCTCCCACCCCATAGTGAGGGTGAGGGTGTGGGGGGAGGAGTGCTCTCAATCAGCTGGTGAGAGTATACACTGTCACAAGGTCCGTTGGAATATATGCACATCCTTTGACCTGTTAATTCCACTTATAGAAATGTATCTTTAGGAAATAATCACATAATTGGCTTGTAGAAAGCTGTGCATCTTCAAACTGTTTTGAAGGGTGAAAAGTTGAAAATGACCCAACTATCTCAAGATAGTCAGCTAAACAAATTAATGTATGTTTACACATTTAAATATTATACAGCTATTGAAAATGTTGATAGACATCTACATTTACTTACATTAGAAATTTAGCATATAATTTTTTTCAAAATTTAAATTTAATTTTTGTGGGTACATAATAGGTGTATATATTTATGGGTTACATGAGATATTTTGATAGCAGCATGCAATGTATAATAATCACATCAGGGTTAATGGGGTACTGATCACCTCAAACATTAATCCTTTGTGTTACAAACAATCCAATTATAGTCTTTTAGGTATTTTACCATGTACAATTAAATTATTATGGACTATAGTCACCCTGTTGTGCTATCGAATACTAGATCTTACTATTTCTAGCAATTTAGTTTTATTTATTTATTTATTTATTTATTTATTTATATTTTAATTTAAGTTCCGGGATACATGTGCAGAACGTGCAGGTTTGTTATATAGGTGTACGTGTGCCATGGTGATTTGCTGCATCTATTAACCTGTCATCTAGGTTCCCTCCCCTTGCCCCACACCCTCCACAGACCCTGGCTTGTGTTGTTCCCCTCCCTGTGTCCATGTGTTCTCATTGTTCAACATGAGTGAGAACATGCAGTGTTTGGTTTTCTATTCCTGTGTTAGTTTGCTGAGGATGATGTCTTCCAGCTTCATCCATGTCCGTGCAAAGGACATAATCTCATTCCTTTTTATAGCTGCACAGTATTCCATGGTGTATATGTACCACATTTTCTTTATCCAGTCTATCATTGATGGGCATTTGGGTTGATTCCGTGTCTTTGCTATTATAAATAGTGCTGCAATAAACATACACGTGCATGTGTCTTTACAGTAGAATGATTTATATCCTTTGGGTATATATGCAGTAATGGGATTGCTAGATCAAAAGGTATTTCTGGTTCTAGATCCTTGAGGAATCGTCACACTGTCTTCCACAATGGTTGAACTAATTTACTTCTCACCAACAGTGTAAAAGTGTTCCTATTTCTCCACAGCCTCGCCAGAATCTATTGTGTCTTGACTTTTTAATAATAGCCATTCTGACTGGTGTGAGATGGTATCTCATTGTGGTTTTGATTTACATTTCTGTAATGATTAGTGATGTTGAGCTTTTTTCATATGTTTGTTTGCCACAAAAATGCCTGCTTTTGAGAAGTGTTTGTTCATATCTTTGCCAACTTTGTGATGGGGTTTTTTGCTTTTTTCTTGTAAATTTGTTTAAGCGCCTGTAGATTTTGGATATTAGACCTTTGTCAGATGAGTAGATTGCAAACATTTTTCTCCCATTGTGTAGTCTAACCATTTTTTGTACCCATTAACCATTCCCACTTCCCCTCAGTCCTCCACTACCCTTCCCAGCCTCTGGTAACCATCATTCTACTCTCTTATGAGTTCAATTGTTTTAATTTTTACCTACCACAAATAAGTGAGAACATCAGCATATAATCTTAAATGGGAAAAGTAGGCTGTAAAAGCACATGCCATACTTTTTATGAAGAAAATGTATGTTAATAATCTCTGCATAAACTCTGCTGCATACTCCCAGAATGTTATTGGTTCTCTATGGGTGATTTTATCTGCTTTTTACTCATAAAATTAAGATATATCTGCATATTTAAATATTCTGCAGCCATTGAAAATATTGATAGACATCTACATTTATTCACATGGAAAAAATTCAGCATATAATCTTAAATGGAAAAGGTGGTTACATGACTATATACACAGTATATCCCGTTTTTGAGAATTATAAAGCTTTGCATGCATTAAAACTTCTGAAAGGCTGTATAGCCAAGTGAGAAGAGTAGTTATCTATTAGTAAAATGATAATGTATGAATTTAATGTTTTAATCTTTTTTTCATCTCTGTTTTCTTATCTATAATAGACGTTGAGTGGTGTAATTGTTGGGAAAGAAAAATGTCGAATTCAGGTAAGGTTGGAAATTAAGGAGATGATAGAATGGGCAGAGTTTATATGGATATTTTCGTAGCACATACTGAGTGGAAAATATTTACACCAAAAAGGGAGATGCATTAAAATAATAGATGTATAGTGAAGATGTGGATAATATCACATTGGGGTAATGTATGTAAAATGCTAAAATAGTGTTGGAACATAGCAGTTAATTACTAAAAGTGAACACTCTTAGTTTCCAAAAAGACAGAGTTGAAAATTTTTGGTTTACCTTTTTTTCTCAGGTGTCTTTCTACAATACACAAGTGGCATTTAATAAATAAACTGTTAAAATAATTTCTGTTAGTAGTAGGGTCTTTGTTCTCTTTTAAGAATTGAAAATGCTTCCTTGTGATCTCATCAATTTCTATAACATTTTTGATGCCTTAGTGATGTTACCGTGGTTTAGACATGAAGCCTAAGTCAATGTTTCTTAAAGTAGTATTGGTGGAATTCCAGGAATGCATATACATATTTTTAGGTTTCACAAGTTCCCTAGAAATGTCTTTTAAATGTTGTTTTCAGGTCACTGATAATTTAAAGGAAAGCATTATAAATATATTCTGTATTTTAAAGTGTTAGTGATTTAGGAGCCAAATTTTGGATTTACATTAAATATTGCTGTGGTACTAAGCAGCACTATTGTATTCATTGATCATAAGATAGACTTGTTTAGTACCTCTAAAATTATGATGCACTTAAAATTGATGACACAGCATTGTGTCATAGTTTAATTAGAAGTATTTTTCTTTCTTAGTGGTATATAAAATAATTATGTATTTAATAATCAAAGGCATCCTAGATTAATGAAATTCTTTTCTAGTCAATGAGAAAAATGTAAAGACGTACTTAATATTTGGTCTATAATACATCAGTTTGTACTTACAGAGATTTTTCAGGAGTAAGAAAACTGGCAGAGGGAGATTGTATCATCAGGCTCTTCCTAATGAAGGAATGTTTAAATTAAGAGAGTCCGTGTTGTCATCAGTACCATGTTCATGTTACAGATTGTGATTTAGGGCTGCCAAAGCAACATTATCAATCTCATGAAATTATATGTTATTTACATTTCTTTGACTTGATAGCTTGCTTTAATTTTAATGTGTGAGGTTGCTTTGTTTTATACTTTGTGTGGAAGCTGCAAATAACCAAAGACTAATAGAATATAAAATTTCTTCCAAAAAGTATGCTATCTGTCTGGGAAAGATAAGTGTTGAGAATAGATGTCTACTTGTAATATACATGATCATGTATAATAAAGACATTTTTAAAGAAAACATTAAAATGTGTGTATAAAATTCTTGAAGCATTTGTGCTTGGTTTTAGGTATGTAAATATTTAAGTGTCCTTTCTTTAGAGAGGATGGCAGCTCCTGGGAAACCAAGGAAACTAGAAAGTCAGAGGATATCCTGCTGTTTTGGTTTGTTTCCATCTAACAGTTTTATGACTACAAATGAGTCTATCCCAGCTGAAAAGTATTCAAAGGTGATTTTATAAAAGTGGAGTTTTTGGCAGGGCTTGGTGGCTCACATCTGCAATCCCAGCACCTTGGGAGTCTGAGGCTTGAGCCCATGAGTTTGAGACGAGTCTGGGGAATATCATAATAAAAATAATTTCAAACAATGATAGGGGTCTTTGAGTTTTCTGCTTTTTAGAATAATATTACTCAAAATTTATAAGCAATACACTTATGTCAAAAACATGTATATTATAGAAGAGTTGGGTTGCACCTAATGTTTATCAGACACTGTTCAGCGCTTCACATGATTTTTCTCTCCATTCAATTCCTTCAACAGTCCCGTTAGGTAAATACTATTATACCTTTATTGCAGAAAAAATAAGACTTGGAAAAGTTAGGTAAAATTTCCAAGATCACTCA